GAGAGAATGAATGTTCAGACCTGTGAAAGCAGGTGTGTGTTTGTATGTGTGTGTGTGTTTGTAAACTGGTATCAGTGGAGAAACCAAAATCTTAGACCAGCTGTGTGAAACGTTGACTTTTTCACATCATCAGTGTCTGTTTGGAATTCCAGGGAATATTTTGCTTTCACTTATTCTGTGGCTACGTTTGTTGTTTTTATTCAACCCCCCTCTCTCTCTTTCTCTTTCTCTTTCTTTCTCCAGCCTTTGGTGCTATTCTACAGGGAAGTCTGTTTGGGTTGGCAGGGATGCTGCCTGCCTCATACACCACACCCATCATGAGTGGACAGGGTCTGGCTGGGACCTTCGCTGCTTTCTCCATGATCTGTGCACTGGCCAGTACGTCACTCTCTCTCTCACTCTCTCTCTATAAAATAGTTCCCTTCAATAACAGAAGAGAGAAACGTCACATTTCTTTCCAGAAACACTGCACATCACCACTGATCTGCTCTGGTTAAATGTCAAACACCTCTGGTCTGATTGACCTACCAACGTTGTATGTTCACTGACTTGGTCGTAAACATTTTCATCTGTTCACTGACTTGGTCGTAAACATTTTAATTTAGGGAGTGTAAAGCAGTTCACCAACTGTTCTCCAGGGGTTTAGTGTCAGCACTAATGTTTGTTTGTTTGTTTGTTTGTTGTGGTCACTTGGTTCTGAACTACAGGACAGTGCTTTTGGTTACTTCATCACGGCCTGTGTGGTTATTCTACTGGCCATCATGTCCTACCTGGTTCTGCCCCGGATGGTGAGACTCTCTCTCTCTCTCTCTGTCTGAGTTATGTCTGAACTTTATTTTATTTTATTGACATCTGAACAGTTCTAGCTCAGCTCTGTGATGACTCTGAGGAGACGTGAACCTCGTCTCCTCCTTATGTCGGCCTCCTCTCTGAACCCGATGTTTTTGGGTTTTTTTTTGTTGTGTTTCTGGAACAGGAGTACTTTCAGCACTTCATGGAGAACAGTGGAGCCAGACCTTCAGCTGAAGAAGAAAACAATATGGATTTAATGGAGAAAGGTCAGAGGTCATCCTGCTGACTTTAGTCCTGGTCCTCTTGTTGTTGTCGGTGACTGTGACTGTGTCTGAACTGGTCCTGTGTCTGTGGTCCAGCAGAAAAGAAACCAGTGGTGAGTCTGACGGAGGACGAGCCCAAAGCCAGTGTGTCGGTGTTCAACATCTTCAAACAGGTGAGATGACCGGGGGGGAGAGGAGAGGGTGGGGGTAGGGGGTGTCATACCAGGTCATGTTTTAAAACCACAGACCTAACTGACACAGTCTTATCTATAACTGACTCTGTATATCTGCCCTGATAACGCCCCCCCCCACCTCAGTGAAACAAACTGACCCCACACCTCAGTGAAACAAACTGTTACAAAAAAACATGAATTTACTTTAGGATCAGATCAGATTAGCTCGGATTAGCCCGGAGTGCTAGGATTAACCCTTCGTCCACCTCTTCTCACGTATTCTAATATTGAAGAGAATTTCCAGCACTCGGTTCTGATCTGTGTTCTCTGGTTCTGTTCTGACCAGATCTGGGTGATGGCTCTGTCCGTCTGCTTCATCTTCACCGTCACCATCGGAGCGTTCCCGGCCGTCACAGTCGACGTCTCGTCCACTGTGGCTGGAGACACCGCCTGGAGTGAGTCTGGATTTCTTCTTTGCTTATTTCAAATAAAACTCTGACTGCAGTAGAGAAGAAGAAGAAGAAGAAGAAGAAGAACCTGCAGCGTTTGAACCACAGTTAGTCGACAAGAAAAAAGTACCATCAGTGGAACAGACATCAGAACAGTTCCACTGGGTTGGTGTTGTCTCCCCTCCCCCAGGACAGCGCTCCAGGTGTGGGACAGTAGAAAACAGGTGATATACCGGGAACAGGACAGAGTGTATCCAACACCTGGGGCGCTGTCCTGTAGGAGGGCACAGACAGCCGGAGAGTCGGTCGTCCGTCTTTTTCTCTGATGGCTGTTTGAAGTCACTGAAGAAGAACAGAAGCTTAGCTCGGCGTCCTCCACCTCAGTTAGTTTTGACTCAGTTTCATTGGACGCAGGGTTAAAATGAAAATACCAAGCAGTGGGAAAAGTAGATCTGGATGTTTTTGTTCAGAGCTGTTCCAGCTGTGAATCCAAACTGCCAGAGAAGACATTCCTCCTGCTGTCAGAGCCACAGACCACGATGACCTGAAAAGACTAGAATGTTCTGCTTTAAATTCCAGAAATATACTTCATTCCTGTGTCCTGTTTCCTCCTCTTCAATCTGATGGACTGGGCTGGACGCAGTCTGACGGCTGTGTGTATGTGGGTCAGTTCAACGCACACACACA